AAATAAAATTTTTCGTGAATCAAAATCGTTTGTTATTGGACAAAATCGGAGAATTTTAAACAGTTCCCGTGCGGTTATTATAAACATTTCGAAAAAATTTTATTAGAAAAATCGCTTCAGAATAATGCATCCTTCAACCGTTAATGCTCTGATGCGAAAGATATGGGACACCTGTATACAGTGTGTATCGGAACAAAACTGTACAACTACCTATTTACCAAGGTTTTTATATCAGAGGTTGTGTAGGTTTTTTCCTACCGCAATTTAAAAAAATAAATTACTTTATTTTAAAAATTTGAATTATTTCCCGGTATTATTTTCCGCCAATGACGTAATGCACAGTATGGTTGCGTATAAACCTAGACAGTCTCTTATATAAAAACCTTGCCTATTTACATGATGTGTCTAAAAATGCTTCCTTAAAAAGTTACACGCGAATTTCAAAATTACTAGAAGTTAATATTTGGTTTATTTCAACTATTTATACGCGTTAATCAAGTTCGTTGTTGTCGAATTAGATTCTACCTTTTTGTTTCTTAACAATTAATTGTCACACAAAAATAGTATTATATTTTGAATAGTAGATATGAATTTTACTAACGAAGAAATGACAGACACACATTTCATATATGGGCAAATGGTAACAGTAATTTGGCTCTTATGAGCTAAATAAAACGTGAATTGTTTACGTGATTTTCATTCAAAAGATATGATTCTCGATATTGCACTCCGATAGATTTTTTTATGGGGTCACCTAAAGTAACATGTATACTCTACACCGATTCGTCGAAGAAGGACGTTTTCAGCACTTCTTTAACGTCTAATCATAGCAATCTCTTAAATAAACGATGTGAAATTTGTTCTTGTTGTTTTAATAATAATTGTTACTGATTAAGCATAATTTTGGAATTCGCATATAACTTTTTAAGGAAGCATGTTTATAGGACCCTGTATTAATTAAATTGAATTCTTTTCTAATCGTGTAATACATTGAGAAATAAAATAAGCCAATACTTTATCCTTCAATTACTCAAAAGACAGTCTAGTCAAGTCCACTTTTGCTTTCATTGTCTCTCACAATCTTTAATCACTTAAGAACCGATCTTTTTTCAGATTTCTGTTCCAAAATGCCCGAATTTTTTTGTCACATCTTTGTTGTCTCTTAATAGGAAATTCAGTTTGCCGGATTAGTTAACTTGGTCATGAAAACAACAAGAAAACCAGCAATATAAGTGCACTACAAACATTTATTTATGCTTTTATAACATACAGGGTATACAACCTTGATTTTGAAATGTTTTTATTAATCGCAGGTGCCTATGAAAACAAATTGTAAGTAAAGCGGGACTGCAACTGTCAAATTATTACCGTTAGTGGCCAATAGTTGTTCAAAATGGCAAATAATTACAGTTTTAGTGAGCAAACTGGTATGCTTTTAATGTTAGGTGAGTATTTAGGCAATGCTAACATAGCGGTGAGACGATATTGTAAAAAGTTTCCCAAACGAAGACAACCTAATAAAAAAACATTACTAAAAGTATGTAAATAACGTGAATCAGAGGTCACTTTGTAAGAGTACATAAAAGAGTGCAGTAGCATAGAACCAAAGAAGCGGAGGAGAAGTACAGAGCATGGAGGAAGGAAGGAAACAACGCTCACAACCCGAAAAACGGAGAGGTAAGAATTAGAAAAACTAAGAACACAGTCGGACACGAAGAATTTTACCAGAATGTAAATAGGAATAGGAAAGGATCTAAACCTAGGATTATAATGAGCAATGACTACAGGTGATGTATTCTCAGCCATGAGAGTCTGATCTTGTTGAGTTTTCTGATCTAGTTCATATTATTGAGAATTTGGATGGCTTCTACATCATGGAAACCATTATGGATAGCTTCGCTAATGGCCTGACTAACTATTTCTGCAAACCAGGGACATTGAAACTGTTCTTTTATAATTTGTCTTGGTATCATTGCACTACTTCTAAATTGCTCCTACTGCCACAATCCCATAGCAGGATGCTATACAGATGTTTCTGTAAGTCGTGGTATAATTTTAACCACAAATACTAGCGTCAAAATGATGTCGATCCCTGTAAAAATTTTTGGTCTAAACCCAAAAATTGCTAAGGTATGGGCCTTCAAAGTTCTGCTAACGCAGCGGCGAGATGATATTGCAAACAATTTCCCAAGCGCAAACAACCTGATAAAAAACATTTCTAAAAGTATGTAAATAACGGGAATCAGAGATCAGTTTGTATACTCGAACTAGAAGAAAACATTTTGGATCTTTTTGGATTTTGTTGCAGATCGTAGTACAGAATATCAAGGAGGAATAGCAATTGTATCCATACAACTTGTCGACAATCTGTTGCGAGTACAGTACCATACTATGATAGGAAAATGTACTATTGATGCTGCGTTTTTAGAAAAAATACCTTTTACTGATGATTGTTAGTTTGAGAAATGCTCATAATTGGACTTAACAAAATCCAGATTTTACTGTCCGTTGAATAATAATTTGACAAATTGCTTTACTTACTATTTGTTTTCATCGGCGCCTACGATTAATGACAGTATTTCAAAAATGAGGTTGCAACTTTTTGTGAATAACTCTAAAACGATGCGTCTAAAAAGTTTGAAGGAAATAACCTTTGTGTTGTAACATCCTGTATAGCATTGATCCCGTGGTTGCATATTTTCAAAATTAATCTTAAATGATTTCTTATGATAACATTGCACTCTTTGCTAAATTTTATCTTTCTAAGACAAACAATATTGAAAAAATTTAAGAAAATGTTTTGTTTGTTGACCAACAAGTTTTACACGAATCGTTATCATTTAAACTATAGTATTTGTGATTAAAATTATGCCAGGACTTACTGAAACACCTGTATAACGAATCCAGAGAATAAGTAAGTATAACAAAAACATACATTTTGCTGGGCGTCTGACCCTCGGAAGATCTAAATGGTACACACGAAAACATGGGATACATATAGGGACACCTCACAGTTCGGGCAACGGTATCGTGTTCCCCGCCTCACACCTTCTCTAGTGTGATTTTCTTTCTTTTTTAGTGACAGGAAGACATTCAGGAAAATGCTGTCTAGTAAGTCTCTGAGGAAGAAGAGTTGCAGAATTGTCTTGCTAATATTATATGCTTGTTTAACACTTCACCACTTCGTTTTTGCAACTCCTTCATTGTCATAGTGTGAACTGTCGATAGCAACCTAACGTCCTTCCATTTTGTGACGCTGACTTTACCTCTTTGAAAGCCAAGACTTCTCCTTTCTTCAATTTATTATCTTTGAGATGTTTGGGTACTTCTTTTCGGGATAATTTTAAGGTGCCATAAACGTCCTTTTTTGATATCAGAATATGGACTAATTGTGGAGAATTTATAAATGCTAATATAAGCACAACTTATGATGACATTGAAAGATTTTTATATTCTTCCTCCAACACAGTCTGTTTCGCAGTGTATACTAAAAAAAAATAGCCAAGAGTTGTACACGAGTGAATTCGAACTTAAACCAAATGGAATGTAAACTTAGATTCGTCTGGGTTAACTCGGGTTAGCGCAAAAAATCCAAAAATATAACGAGTATACTCCTCGTTTGTCCTTAAGCGGTTAAAAGCATCGTCTTATATGAAAGTGAAACTTGGCAATTAACAAAGAACCATGAATAAAAACTATTAGCGCTGGAGATGACTTACTGGTGAGCCTCAGCAAGGTTATTAAGAATAGATAAAGTGAGAAACAAAAGAATAATGATGGTAGACAAAACAATAATAGAGGAGACTCAACAAAAACAGCTAATCTGGTACATGTTGAGAGAATGCCAGAACAAAGAATTCCAAACCTTGCTATCCAATGGGTATCCACAGAAAAGATGAAGACCAAAGGTTACCTGGCCAAGCGGTTGTATTGTTGATTTTTCTTCCAAAAGATTACTTATTGTTAGTCCAAACTGGTTGAATAAAAGTACAAAATAAGATGTTAGATCATTTGTATTATTTGGAAATACCTCTTCAAGTAGCCATTAGTAACTTTAATCTTACAGTAATACCCATTTTATTCACAGCTTATCAATTTAAAGGTGTTCTGAGTTGCAAGAAATCTAGATGCAAAGGGAATATTCATTGAGTCATCCTTAATCAAACAAACAGATTAGCGCTGATTTAGTCCCACTCTGACGCCTACTGATTAGCATCATTGAACCTATCAACATCTATGTGCTAATATAACGGACTAGTACAGTCAAGATGTAATCAGTGGTTCATAAAACAGACAAATGCTACACCAAGGAAAATGCTTTCTTGAAAGGAAGCTATACAATCTAAATAGTCATTTTAATAAATATTAGATGCCAAAAATGATCAAAAAGTTTTAAACCATTTATAACATGCCATTTAATAACACAAAATAAAAACCTTTTACCATTAAAAATATTACAAATTCTTTGTATCATTATTAAATTAATATAAAAATGTAGTGGGTCTTCTTTCTAACTTTTGAAACTAAATACTACTATAATATAGGAGTATTAAAGCGATTAAGTATATAAAGATATAAAACCTGAAAAATAAATAAAAACTAGAATAAGTTGGGTATATGTATAACACCACAGATATCAGATTAGCATGAAAATATTTACGTTTCTATGCAATATTTTTGTTGGTTTAATGATGAATGTTCACAGTAAATAATGTACTACTACAAATGAAGTTGTACCTTCAACGCAAAACTTGTATATAACTAAAAAGAAGTCAATTTTATCTATCATTCCGAAATTCAACAAAACACAACAAAACCTTGACCATTATTATAAAGAAATCTCTAATCACGGTACTGTGACCTTTATTATTAAACGGTCAGACAAGATGATCTTGTAATCTAGTTTTTATTTACACCGTGTTGCACTATGTCGAAGTAAAACGAGAAAGTTTTGTTGCGAATACCGAGAAGGACTTACAAAATATAGTAATTTTCCTTACCGCAGTTGCAAGTTGATCATTTTCTACCAACGGAAGGGTGGATTTCTCGAGTTTTTTCTCGGTGATTGGTTTCGTGACGATCGTCATTGTTGCGATCAGTCGCAATTTGCACAAATTCTTTTTTCAAATAGGTTGTTGAAACCGCTACGGACAAGAACACAATCGATACACAGAAAATGTCGTACAAGTTGAACTGTCAGTCTACGCATGCGCAAGCTACAGTGATTTATACTGAATTCAAAACCGCAACTGATATTTTTTTTATTGGTCGAAGTTATCTATTATATTTAATTTTATATAGTATATCGTCATTAAAATTATGAAAATAATTTAATCTGTGATTATTACATGTTTATCTTTATTGATTCAAAACTTCTTTACTATTTTCTATGTATTAACCTCCCAGCATACACAAACGATTCCCGGGCAAAAGATGGCGCCACTACAAGTTATTAAATTTAAAATTCATTATCCGAATTTTATTACTACTATTTACTTTTGTATTAAATCAAACACTATTACTACAATTATTATTAATGTATTTTATTTAACCCTCTAGTAAACGGGTGTTCCCAAAATTACACGAGCAACGGGTGAGGAATGTCAGGCTCATATTTACAATATACAGAGTGTATCTGAATGACTGCAACAAACTTCAAGGGTGATTCTTTAGTGAATTTTAAGGGTACTTTGATATATAAACCATGGGCGACTTCGGCTCCCTAAGGAGCTACACCCCTCCAAAAATGGCGGAAAATTTTGGTTTAATTTTTTTTCTCAAAAGCCATAAACGATAGGAAAATTAAATTTGGGGAATATGTTTAACTCATAATAGGGCACGTTTTGACCTCATTTGTACTTTCAACCTATCCTTCTAAACTACTAAACGTAACCACCCCCGTTCAATTTATGCCTAGATTTTTTTTATGAAGATGATAAATACATTGGATAAATTTCAGTTAGATATAAGCACACACTAACTGTTAAGCTGTAGGGTTGTTAATCAAAAGTTGGAATGAATTTTAAATGAAAATATCTTAGTAGGCTTTGCAATCTTTGTCATAAATATTTTTGACCTTTAATGTCAGTGGTTTTCTAACTATTATTATTGTTTTATTTAATCTGAAATATCTAATATCTGGGCCTCAGAGCAAAAAAAAATGAAGGTTACTTTAAACCCTTCGGTCGATCTTGGCAAGACATTAATATAAAAAGTCGATTTTGATCAAAAATTTGTGGACACTACTGCTCTAAATCGATTAAACGTCAAAATAATAACTCTTAAATAACAATAACTCTTAAACTAACAGCGATGGGGAAATATTTTTTATACATAAAACCTTAGTAATGGGTCGTAAAGACTAGATCCATAAAAAGATTGAACCCAATTATTACTATTTTTTATTTATAAGCTCTAAATTGATTAAACATCAAAATTGTTGATTTTCGAAAATTAACTCAATCATAACTCAAAAACTAAAAGCGATGGGGAAATATTTTTTATACATAAAATCGTAGTAATGGGCCATAAAGACTAGATCCATAACAAGCTTGAGCCCAATTATTACCATTTTATATTTATAAGGTCTAAATCGATTAACATCAAAATTGTGATTTTCGAAAATTAACTCAATCATAACTCAAAAACTAAAAGCGATGGAGAAAAACTTTTTATACATAAAACCGTAGTAATGGGCTATAAAGACTAGATCCATAACAAGATTGAACCCAATTATTACCATTTTTATTTATAAGCTCTAAATCGATTAAACATTAAAATTGTTGATTTTCGAAAATTAACTCAATCATAAATCATAACTCATAAACAAAAAGCGATGGGGAAATATTTTTTATACATAAAACCTTAGTAATGGATCATAAAGACTAGATCCATAAAAAGATTGAAACCAATGATTACCATTTTTTATTTATAAGCTCTAAACCGATTAAACATCAAAATTGTAGATTTTCGAAAATTAACTCAATCATAACTCAAAAACTAAAAGCGATGGAGAAAAACTTTTTATACATCAAACCGTAGTAATGGGCCATAAAGACTAGATCCATAACCAGCTTGAACCCAATTATTACCGTTTTTGAGGAAAAAAAATTAAACCAAAATTTTCCGCCATTTTTGGAGGGGTGTAGCTCCTTAGGGGAGCCGAAGTCGCTCATGGTTCATATATCACAGTACCATTACAATTTACTAAAGCATCACCCCTTGAAGTTTGTTGCAGTCATTTAGATACACCTGTATATAAAAAAAAGAATTAAATAGTTTTTTAATAGACTGCCTAAGTCTGGCGCCACAGAGGTGGGCGGAGCTTATACTGACTCCTAACAATTTCGTTGCTAACCACAGTTGCTAAGATAAATCGCCAAAAACTGTCATTTGAAATGTCATCACCGTCATCACTTAGTTTATTTTACTTTAACAGTAATGGAAAATTGCATAATATGGTGATTTAGCGTTAGCAACACAGTTGCCCCGTTTATTGCTGGTCTCCTGAAGCAGAGAGTCTTGATAAACGACCAGGCGTTTCACGAACTTTTCTTGGAAGACATTCATTTGTCTCATATTTTCTTTTAGTAAAGAAGATCCGAGATTTTTTAAAAACATTCTTCGACTTTTACTAAACTCACTATCAGAGTTGTTTGCTTTATAAATTATAAAAGTATTAATCGCAGCGACGGTTATAAATCCATAAAATATGACCATATGTTAGCGTTCTTTTATGTATGGTGCGGCTTTTGTACGATAGATGGCGTGGGGAGGTTCTTGTGGTGTGTATATTTAAAAACTGGCACATATGTAGTCATAAGGTTTAGAGTGGAGTAGTTTAAAAACCGTTGGATTAAGTGTAACCGATTGGATTATAATAAAGAGTTGTTTAGCCATTCAGAGGAGTGTGTTTAAATAGTTAACACATAGGCCAACGCCGTGTGTTTCTAGCCGGATTGTATGCTGTTGTTATTCGGTCGACAACATCTACACCCAGTTTGGTCAAATTATAAAAACTAACTACTTCTGGTTTAGTCTTTTCATCAGTACTTTGATCAATAACATTGACGAAATCAATAAAACATTTTTTGATTTTTTTTGGAACGTATGAAACAGCCATCATGTCTTTACTAAAAACAAATACGGACGAATTCACTTGCCTGTTCTTTACCTTTGTTATTTGTAAAGGTAATTTCCTTCTGTTAGCCCGAATTGTTACCACTACAGTGAGGCGATACTCTCGTAATAGCAGACTAACTATTTTATATCCTGTAAACCAACGAGCCAAGGTTACATTTCGTCCTGATCTGGATAGGTGCATACACATCCTCTGTGATAGCAGATATTGAATTATCGATTTTAAATGGGCCTTCGGGTTGAGTCCCTGCATAGATTTCTAATTGGGATGTGCAGAATGTTCTAGAATCGACCATTGAGAACATTTTTAAGCCATACTTATTTGGTTTATTTGGGATATACATTTTAAATCTGCATCTCCCACGAAATGCAAGCAGCATTTCATCAAGGGTAACGTACTCACCAACAGAATAGTGTACTTTGTACTGTTTGTTGAACTTTACCATCATTTTCCTTACGGTAGCAAAATTATTTTGTAATTTTCTGACCTCTCTGGTGTTTGTGTCATCAAACCACGGGCATCTCAATAAAAATTTACTGATCTTGATATCTACTTGAAATGTTTGTGATATATTCATTAATGTTTACTGCAATGACATTCACGATTCCTTCGAAAAAATACATCCAACATTGCATTGGCGTCTTTCCATTCTTTGCCAATCCCGACACACCTGGAAGATTTGTTACAATGTTCCTTTGTCGCGTTCGAACATTCAATGGTACAGCTTATTTCATTTTGTCCCATCCTACTTAGATCTGTTTCCATGCAAAATATTGGCTTGTTCTTCTACATCTGAAAGTGACTCTTGCTCAGTATCTAATTCGTGGTCACTTACAAAGTTATGTTCTTCGTCGGCAAAAGATTCATTGTCACTTTTAGTCAATTCTGACAGTTCATCAGTATCTATTTCATCGGCAAGGCGTTCTAACCTTTTTACCTCTCGTTCATATGAACACATATTGAAGTAAAATAAACCTACAAGGGAGAGAAAATACGTAAATATTCTTGATATTTATGTATACATACTATAATAGAATTATAGTAACAAATAATTTCAAGAAAACTTATGACAACTTATGCGCTCATTCCAGAAAACAATTCACTAACAAAAGTAATAAACGACTGAATCACGTTTGTGTGCAGAAGTTAAATGGTAATGTTAGGAAAATCACTGAAAGTTATACATAAGCAAAGTCATTGTATGATGGGAATATCTTATGTTTTTAGAGTAGTATAGCTATGGGCGTTCTGGACCAAAATCCCATAAGATTTAACATTGGGGTCGAAAAGTACTTTTTATCCCCACCACTACCTCCTTTCGAGGGTGTAGCCACGCCCACATTTTAAATTCAACCAATCAGAGCGCAGCATTCTCCAAGAACCCTCTTTTTGGCGGGAAATTTGAATGAGGATCGACAGGCCTTATGATGATGACGTCATCATCGAAGCCGGACACAAAGCGTTTGGTTTGGCTTACCGGCTGAGTGCTATGGTGCGGGGTGCGGGCGGGCAGGGCAGGGTGGTTCAATCAGAGCATAGCATTCTCCGAGAACCCTCTTTTAGGCTGGGGATTGAATGAGGCTACCGCCTTATCATGATGACGTCATCGTCGATATATCGAGGCCTTGACACATCCGGACACGAAGCGTTTGGCTTGGAGGTTATAAAATGGTAAATATCTCGTTAACGATGCTTCAAATCGAAAAATAAACCAAAAAATTCCCCCCTACAACCCCCAATCGCCTATAACAAGCACGAACAATATGGCACGGGTAAAAACTGCCAAAACGGCCTTATTTAGTTATCGAGCTGATGACGTCATTCCACCGGACATGTGAACACAAAGCGTTTGGCTTGGAGGTTATAAAATGGTAAATATCTCGTTAACGATACTTCAAATCGAAAAATAAACCAAAAAATTCCCCCCCTACAACCGCCCGTCGCCTATAACAAGCACGAACAATATCGCACGGGTGAAAACTGCCAAAAGGGCCTTGGTTAAAACCCCTGTTCAACCGATCGGTTCAACCCCTGTCCCTCCCTACAACCTCCTGCCGACTATAATAAGCGTGAACAACATTGCAC